TATGTAACAGATAGAACAAATAAATAATTAAAATAAAATTTGAATTCGGCAAATGTACTTGTATAGGTATGTCGTCATGTGCTTTAACAACAAAAACCGAACCTTCATCTAACACTGTGTTGAGGATTTTTATCTTTATGTTTTTCAATTTCAATTGACACAAAATACTTAAGGAAAAATATTTTTTTTATTAACAATTAATATTGTTTTATGAAATTTTTTTTTTATATTCAATGTGCTGAGATGTACATATACAGGGTGATCCTTAAGTAGTTGTACATAGAAGTATGATAGATTTGTGACTTTAAAATATTACGATTTGAGCCAACTTGCCTTAATAAAATATTGATAATAACAAAGATACAGGGTGTTAAAAGTGAAATTTCAAAATTTATTTTTCGCAATAACTTGAACATTTTTGGACATTTATACGAAAAAAAATTATCTTGGGTTTTTTTTGTATGAGAAATCATAATTTGGTATCTAATTTAATGTATCTTTTAGAGGGCGCCACATAAGCCACATGTGTGGCATAAAGGTACGCTAAATTTTTTTGCCCATCAAGGTAGCCCTCTTTTGAGGGAAAAATATTAAAGGTACGGCATTGTAAGAACAAAAATGTATACTTGTAAACAACCTCTAAACTTAACGGTTTTCGAGATAATCGAATTTTAAAAATCGGCTGCATAATTCTTTAATTCATTACGAGAAATAGTAACGTAGTAGACGGAAGTCACGAATGATTTTAACAGCTAAACATTTTTGTTTTCATAATCTATGACGTTTGAAAATGTTTTAATTGAATATTTCAGATAATTAAGGAATAGCAAAAAATGCTTACTATTTACTGCCAGCAATATTTCAACGAACGTGCTGCGAAATGGGAATATTTCAGAAGATATCCAAACAGGCTGCAACCTAATCACCACACATTTGAAAATCTATTTAGGAATTTAGGAGAAAGTGGTTCATTTCGTCCCAAACGTTATAATTTAGGCCGACCGAGAATCATTACGCCTGATCAAGAAGATGAAATAATTGGTTCACGTTGCAGATGATCTTCAAGTTAGTACAAGAAGGTTATCTTCAGCTTTAGGAGTCAATAAAACTTCAGTTTTAAAAACTGTTGTACCAGAAGTATCAAATTATCAGATTTATGTGATTCGTTTGCTGCAACAAATTTGCAAGATTTTTTCCTTATTATGCTAGGCAAATTTCTCGTCGTATTCGTTTTATTACACTGCTAGTCAAACCTAAATATAACCATTATCGTGTATCTGATATATGACACTTTAACTACAAACATGAAAAGATAATCGTTAACAAATCACCTATAAAACTTTATGGAAAAAAATATATGAACTAAAAAGTTCACACGTAACCCACGTGCTGAAGTTTATTTGTCAACAAACCATCAATTTCAAATTACAAATTTTGATTGTTGTTAAAGGTACTAAAAGGTCTACTACCGCTACACAGTGACATACTGACAAAGATCAGAGCAAGGTTGCTGGCATATTCTTGACGCAACCAAATTTCCGCAATCGATTTTTAATTACTATAACAATTTTGTTCAAATTTCCGCTTAGATAAAAGAACTTGGATTGAACTAAAGGTAACCATAAAGATAAACTTCGTGCTTTAATAATTACATGATTCCAATTAGTGCAAATTGTTATCTGTGGTCTGCTGCTGATGAATTCCTAACATTGTTACAAATTTCTTTAATTGTATGAGTAGAATTTGACTATTTTTATCTACTTTATTTGATATTACTCTTTAATGTGTAATTAAATTAAACTACGATGTTTGTTGAGACAGAATTTCAAGAAAAGAATAAGTCCATAAAGTTCTGTTATCGGAACTACTGTAACAATTTGCCACTGCAAGGGCGTGCCATGAAATTTTCATTTGGAGAAATTGTCTTCAAATAATTATATACGTTAAAAACGATACACTTAGAGTGGGGATTAAATTCCTTTCTTTTATTTTTCACATGCATTGATTTATTTTAATAAGAAATTGCACTGAAAATGCACAAGACTATACACTTATGAAGAAACACGCCTCCGAAGCTGTAGAACACAGTATGCACTGCAAGCTGCTACGGTCAACGCCACGCCGCCAATGTCATTATACCACGGATGTCGAATGCGGTTAATTCCAAGAAAGTGACGCAGAGGTCTTCCTGGAATTCTATCTCAACAAATATTGTACGAACTGTACCTACATAAATTAATAAAGCAGCAGGTAAACATTTGCTGATAACACTGTTATTTTTCTCAAATTACGGTTAATTTATACCGACGTATAAAAATAGTTCTTTAAACACTTATTAGCAATGTAATGATGTCCTCTAACTCATCTGCAATTTAAATAAAATAAGTTATATTCAAAATCATGCACGTAACTATATAGGATGTATTTTAAATCCATGTCATAAATTAAGGAGGGAATTCCTTGGGTCATTTTAGGTTCAAAAGTCTTAAAAATCAGGGGCCTAAAGTTACTGGTTTTCAAGACAAAGGGTGTTGAAGTTTTTGAAAAATATCACATTTTTTCAATGGTCTTTTTGACGTAGATTGATGTAACTTGAAGAAATGATGTAACTAATGAAAGGGAAAATTTTGGTATACATATTTCTACGGGGTGTAAGAAGTTTGACTGTCAGCATGAGATAGAATAATCACACACAAAAGTTGTATAATACAGGGGCGTAAGATTAACAGTTTTCAAAATACAGCGAGTTTTAATATTGGGGAGTTTCATCACAACGTGACAACATCGCTTAATCTGCTGATGCACACCACGTGTACGAGCAGCAGACTTGTCCTACGGAAAAAATGTAAACAACTATTATTGTGAAACATTTAGTAAATTTCAAGACAATTGTTTTCCAGTTTTTAAATAAATAAAATAAAATATATCGATTTTGTAGCACGAAGATAGTGCTGTGCTTAAATTTTAAACAGGAACTTAACTTTTAATCAAATTACGTATTTAAAATGTATATAATTAAAGTACCCAAAGATTCACGTCATGCAAATAATCATACGTATTAAAAATGATTTAGGTACTTACCAAAAAGCAAAATTCAGTCATTTTTAAACGCACAAGTACAAAACAATCTACAACATATGCTCAAAATGTCCACCACCATTTTAGATGCACGCACGATACCTTCGAATCCAATTTTCGCGCATTTGCTGGGAACCACCTCAAAAAAAGCAAATAGTGGTACGAAAAAAACACTCCGACACGGTCGAATCCAGATACCAACTGAATTGCGTATTGGTAGTTGCTGAACACCTTAGTACCTTCTGTTAATAAACCGCCGCGCCGTTGTCGCATTGCTCGATATGAATTTTATCGAATTTTAAATTTATTACAACGCTAATTATTTTTTAGAATTAAGCATAAAGAAGTCAAAAAGTTATGTCAATATTCCTTAATTAATCGAACTTTTGTACGTCAAGTTGGAGATTTTGATCATTTTTTTCTCGGAAATGGTTGAGTTTAGGACCCATGTCATATAAGATTTTTTGTTTATTTTAATGTATTCCATCATCTGTTAAAATTAAGACAGTCAAACTACTAACACCCTGTGTATAAAACTGCCAATTTATGGCGTAGATTCAAGGGGAGGCTTCCCATTAAAACACCTAGAAAAACAAAGCCAATGTCTTTTCAGAAAGATTAATAGGAGTATGTCGTATCGCTAATAAAAAAGGTCTCTTGCCTTTTCTCTCTGAAATGCAGTATTATTTATTAATTTTTATTACACATTAGTTTTAAAATGAATTTTATAAAATATCCCAAAAATAACTAACAGTAACAATACAAATTAAAAACATCTTAGGTATCAGAAGAAACAAAAAATATATGTTTTTAGAAGGTGCTGAAAGGGTACATTTTCAATTCTGGCATTTGTCTGCCTTGCTGGCATCATCTACATTCATTTTCTTAAATCCGCCACATTCTCTACTGGTGTTTCATAAACCGTGGCCTAGAGATGGTTCTATAAAAATAAATGAAGCGGATTTAAGTCAGGAGATCGAGCAGGCCAAAGTTTGGGTCCATTTCGTCCAACCTATCGATTGAAGAGATTCTCATTCAACAAGTTCCTGGCAACTCTAATGAAATGAGCTGGGGCTCGACGGAGCAGATATTTCAATTGCAGTCACAGACAATAGTATCTATCTACGACGGCATTCGCACCATTTTTATGGTAATTTAAAATAGCTTGTCCCAAATAGTTGCAACTGGCTTAAAAAGTAAGGATTTTGGTTTAAATGTTTTCCACCAATCGATATACTTTATATTATTCGGCGGGGAAAATTATCAGGATTAAGTTTGTGCGCCATTTTCAGTCCGATGAGACAAAATGGAGCGATATATGACGGATGGGCGAGTGAAGATTGTGAAAATTCGTTACAAGTACGGAGAGTGTGTAGCTGAGACTGTGAGGGAATTACGTGGAATTTCAGAAAGGAAAGGCAAGAGACTTTTTTGTTAGAGGTACGACATACGCCTATTAAATTTTCTGAAAACTCAGTGGCATAGTCTTTCCGCGGGTTGTAATGATAAGGCTCCCCCGAATCTGGGTCACCAGGTGACAATTTTATACAGAAATACATTGAATTATCCCCTTTAATTAGTTATTACATCGCTTCCCCAAGTTTCGTCAATCTACGTCAAACAACTTCAGAGTAATTACAAAAAAGGTTTTTTTGTTTAAACTTTAACGCCCCCTATCTTGGAAATCAATAACCTTAGGCCTCTGGTTGATTAAGGCTTTCGTGTCTGTAATGACCCCTTATTTTATTACATTGGTCATAAAATACACCCTGTACAAATATAACCCACGTTTATAAGTGGGTTCAATTTTAACTGTCTTAAGTGGCGGATATAAAACACTGCCATAAATATGTCTGTACACGAGAGGGAATAACAGCAAGCAGCGGTATGAAAACATGGAACGAATATAGAAATTGTTTACACTGTGCCAGTGTGGTTTAACGCGAAGTACGCTTATCCCACAGTTAAATTCGTACTCTAATAAGATGACTGTGACTACTTAGAAAAAAATGAAATTAATAAGAGTGAATTCGCGTCATCGACAAGCAGTTAATGTCGTTGCAAGGAACCAGAAAGGTGAGTCTGGAGTTTCTTTCCCCAACCGATAAATTAAAAAATGTGTTGCCGAAATATGTTGAGATGTATCGACCTCATTTTAATTTTTTGATAACTTATGTGCTATAGAGATTAACTTGTCATAAAAATATGTCTTGCTGATAACCTCATACTTATCAATGAAGTGAAAGCAAGGATCAAAATGTAAGTAGATAAGTCGTGTTTGACACGTATTTAATACATTTGAAATTAAATATATTTCAAATCATGATGCTAATAAATATTTTTCAATTGATATCTCCTTGTTCGAGCAGTGATGAAGTGCTTATTTACATTTTATTTACATCAAGTTGCTAGTCCATTTAAATAATATATTTGTATGATAATAATATAGAATAGCATTTAATTGTAACAGACGCTGGTTAGACTTTATTTAAAAACATGCATTCCAAATTAGACATTATTAAATGTTAAACAGTTAAATAAAAATAGTACATTTTAAAAAAATATAATAAATACACAGAGATGACCAAGAAACTGTATAATAATAACAGACTTTGATATTCATTTTGTTTTCAAGTGTAAAGTGCAACAAAGACCTTCCAAACCAAAGATCTTTCAAAACTGACTTATCTCATTAAAACCATTGAAATTATTCGCAAACATCAAACGGTGACTAAAAGTGAAACCTCGTATTCTTGGTGAATTTTAATGGGCCATTTATTATTTTAAATTTAATTTTTTTTAAATAATTTAAGAACTAATAAGTGAAGTAATTTGAAATTGGGTACATGTATTTATGTAAACATTGTCCAAAATCTGAGGTCTTTTCCGAAAATGTAGATGCTCCAGTGGCGGAGATACAGGATATCGGTGGCATACTTTTCTAATTAAAATAGTACTCCACTGTTTTACGGTCATGATATTTTCGGATTCGTCTTTCAAATTACTGCTCTCTTATGTTTTTCGAAAAATGACTGATTTTCGAGTAAAACTTAAAGAACGAACTGAAAACACACTTCGATATTCGAATAAAATTCGGTTTAAAATTACATAGTACATACGCTGCGATAGCAACTTAGACATTCTGAGCAGGTAGAAGAAAGAATAAATAAAGTCAGATTCAAGCAACAATAAATTTTGAACTAATTACATTTTCGCTACTAAAAACATGTCGCGCCTATGCTCATTGAAATGGAGATATGGTTGAGCATTTATTCAAGTAAATTCATTAAAATGATGATTAATATTAATTTCACTATTCGATTAAATAACCGAATGATTAGTGTTTGTCATGTTATTTAAGTAAAGTGTTTTCAGTTAGTTTTTTAAGTTTTACTCGAAAATCATGCTTTTTTCGAAAATTTAAAAACGAATCCGAAAATATCATGATTGTTACCGTATAGCAGTGGCGTACTATTTTACTTATACATATTAAAGCATACTAAAAATATGCTGCCGATACCCTGTATCTCCGCCACTGGAGCATCTAAATTTTAGAAAAAGGCCTCAGACTTTAGACAATGTTTACATAAATACATGTGCCCAATTTGAAATTATTTCACTTACTAGTTTTTAAGTTAGTTAAAAAAATTTAAAATATTTCTTTTAAATTGTTGGGTAGAAGATTACATTAAGTAGATTATAATTAAAACAATGTGCGTAGAATATTTTGTTATGACTATTAAGCCGAAAACAAATGAAAATCGGTTAACATTTGTTTCTATTCATTATCTTTTTATACCCTTGCAGCTTGGTGCGTTCTTTATGACTGACTCTATATGAAATGATAATTAATTGCGAAAATTATAAAAATTAATACTAACGGTAATATATGAATTTAATTAAGAAACTGACGGTAATTAGTACATATTCTTGAAATATATTAATTGATGAATAATTTTTGGGTTGGCATATGCTTTTTTTCTATACAAATAATTATTATTTAGATTTCTAGGGTTTCAATAATATATTCGTAGAATATTGAGTGACGTTACCTGAGACGCATAAACATGATTGTATCAAATTAAAAAAACATTATAAAAGTTAATGATTAAACATACACGACTTCTAAGTAACGCAGGATGCTGGAATCATTATTATTATCCCACTTGTTTTTATGATAATTTAGATTGAAGCTGACAGATTAAGTTCAAAATAGCGCAATAATCTTTTCCATAGGACTGTCGTGACAAAATAATTTAAATATATCCCAAATAATTACGCGCAGAATATCAAAAAGCCCAGTATTAAAAATAAGTTAAAATTACTCATTTATTTACTTATTCGAGAAGGTAATCAAAAATAAAATTTATTTCTCCAGTTCAGAATAGAATTAATTCAAAAGTTTGGCCAAAGAAATCATATACTCGTATTTTAAAATAATAGCACTTATACAGGGTGTCCCATTAATATTGCGAAAAAATTCAGGGGGAGTTTCCTTGACCAGAAATAAGAAAGGAAGTTCCTATAAACCTATGTCCGAAAATGCTTCGTTTCGGAGATACTGGGTGTTGAAATTTAAGGAAAATACAAGGTTTTTACTAATATCTGGAGAATACTAATTCCGATTTTTTTAAAATTTGATATGTTTGTTAATAAAAACGTAGACGTCTTCTGAAGTAATTTGATTTATTTTATCTATTCCAGCGGTGTCCAGGGACTCATTCCTGTTGATATTAATACGTGAACATATGAGACGTCACTGCTTTTTCTTAGGTGTAATATATGTTTCTAATTATACGATTAAAAGTACAACTTTTTGTCTCTTTACTTTTTTTGATATCTTGCTTCGTTTTCGAGTAAAAAATTAATATCCTTTCATATGCACATTCTTAAGGGAAGTAGAAAACAAAAATAGAAATTCAATGTTTTAGTTATTTACTAATCAACTTTAACAATACATTTGAAGGAAAAACAATGTAACAAGCTGAGAAACAATAACTCACTAAATAATATATTTTTAAATAACTAATATTAATAGACACAAGAAAAAATATTTAACAAACAGCAATGATATGAAAAATACTTTACATACACAGCCGTTACCACAGTTGTTGAAAATGTGCACCTTCAACTCTAATACCGGCATCTATCCTACGACACATTGATTGACGAACCCGTTCAAATATTCCGGCTGTGTATCTAATTGTTTCACAGGATGCGACAATGCGGTTTCTTAATTCGTCTATGGTTTGCACTGGAGTCATATAATCAAATGTTTGAGGTGACCCCAAAGGAAAAAATCCAATGAATTTAAGTCGGGACACCTGAGGGGCCAGGGTTGAGTGCCTCCTCGACCTATCCAACGATTTGGGTAGATACTGTTCAAATATTCACGTGCAGCTAAACTGAAATGGGGTGGAGCACCATCGTGCATAAAATTCATTTGCAACCTTAATGGCAATGGGATCTCTTCTAAATGTGCCGGCAATTCATCCTCAAGAAAACGGCGAGTAAGCCTCGGTGGTAAAAAAATTGGCCTATTAAGTAGTCTCCCACAATTCCGACATATGCATTAAGTGAAAACTGGTGTTGATGATGGCCTTCTAATATTGCATTTGGGTTCTCGTCCGCCCATATATGATTATTATGGAAGTTCATTGTGGTTTTTCTAGAAAAATTCGCCTCATCCGTGAATAGTATTTCTGATAAAAATTACGGATTTTCCCCAATTTTTTGTCGTATCCATCGACATAAATCTAATCTTAACGGAAAATCAGTCGGTAAAAGTGCCTGAACCCATTGGATGTGATAAGGGTATAGAAGATTATTTTTTAAAATCCTGAAAATTGTAGAACGACTTGCATTTAAGTTTCTAGCAATCTGTCGGGTACTTGTTGTTGGAGTGTCCTCAATTTAATGAAGTACATCCTCCTGTAATTATTGGGTTATTGCTGTGCGGGGTCGCCCGTTTCCTGCGGTAAGTTTTCGAAAACTTCCAGTTTCACTAAGACGTTGATGAAGACGGGTGAAGATAGTATGATGAGGAATTATACGATTAGGGTATTTCTGCTCATAGAGGCGCCTGGCAGCTAATGCATTACCGTTGGTAAGGCCATAAAGAAAATGCATATCGGACATTTCACTATTTGTGTAATTCATTTTGACAAGAAGGAATTGACACTGTTCAAGTACTATTAAAATCACACACTTAAGCTATTAATTTTTTGCTCGAAAACGAAGCAAGATATCAAAAAAGTAAAGAGACAAAAAAGTTGTATTTTTAATCGTATAATTAGAAAAAAAATATGACACCTAAGAAAAAGCAGCGACGTCTCATATGTTTACTTATTATTATCAACAGGAGTAAATCCCCGGACGCCGCTGGAATAAATAAAATAAATCAACGACTTAAAATAAATCAAATTACGTCAGAAGACGTCTACCGATTTTATAAACAAACATACCAAATTTCAAAAAAAAATCGGAATTAGGGTTCTCCAGATATTAGTAAAAACCTTGTATTTTCTCTAAATTTCAACACCCTATAACTCCGAAACGAAGCATTTTCGGACATAGGTTTATGGAACTAACTATCTTTCTTATATTTGGTCAAGGAAAGTCCCCCTGAATTTTTTCACAATATTAATGGAACACCCTGTATATCTAAGTCACTTGACGTCCATCTCCTTGAGAAACTGTACGTCCTTCTGTTATAAATTTCATTATAAAATGTTAAATCATTAATACCGAAAATAGAACTTATAATGATAGATGATGCAAATATATTTCATATTTTTATTAAAAGTAATTCCGCAATCTGAAAATAATTTTAAGTATATAATTAGAACAAATAAATCCATGCACTCACTGTTGGTTTGTTGATAATAAAAATTTTTCGCGGCCATGCAATTTAGACCAACCGGCATCGGATAATACATTTACATTTTTTTTGTTAAATTCAGTTTTCCTATTATAGATCCTCTAAAAATAAGTGTATGAAGGTAAACTAAATGGTAAGATATAAACGTAATCTTTTGGTAGAATTGATTATTTTGTTAAATCTCTATATGGTTGTGCAGGTATTTGAGTAATTGGCCACAATAATAAGAATTAATGTAAATCTAATGTACAATAATATGATAAATAGAACTGTACTGATATTTCTCCAATATCGTATGTCTATTTTTGTATTCCAAAGAATTAATTCCAAAGTCTGGTCATTAATGACTAGAGCTGTCACAATCGGTCCGCTAGCCATTGTCGCCGATTTCCCCGTTATCGAACGATTTCCTTTATGATTTTAGTTGTCTTTTGATGTATAATTGTATCTAATTATGTCGAGCGTAGTTGGTGCTAAAAAACAGCAAACAATTCATTCATATAATGAGTAGAAAAAATAAGAAAATTTACCGGTAAGTTGCTATAAAACTATTAAAATCTAAAAACTATTCAGGCGGAAAACAAAACACAGATATATTTGTTGGAATAGAAAAGAATTTTATGAAATTAAAGAAAAATAATGAGGTCTATAATAAATAATAAAACATTTTATTCCAACTGGAATAAAACAACCCCGAATGGAAATTACCATGTCGGCGCAACTTAGTAAATTAGATATTTAATTAAGCTGAAAGAAGGATAGAAATATACCTGATGATGCGATCTATAACAGATCTCATCCAGATTGTGAAACCGATGGCAACGATGCGTATAACAATTTACGTGTCTGACAATGATAAATGACATAAATCTCATAATTATTGTTCACTTTGTTTTATCTATAGTAACAGAAATTATGTCAATATTGATACAAAAACTTTTACAATGTTTATAACAGTTCTAGGTATATTGACAGTAAATATCCTAATCTAAAAAAAAATAATGTTTTAAATCAATTAAAGCTTTGTTACATTAGTTTATTGCAAAATCATAATAATCGTTATTGATAGTAATTGTTTTTCTTGTTGTCCATTGTAACAATGGACATGCTTTCATTAAGATCTTTTCCTTCTCTTCAGTCTCAAACATGATTTCCTCCACTACCTAAAAATAGACTAATCTTTGTTAGTAGTGAGTAAAATTGCAAAATAATAAAGATAAATGTTGTTACCTAATTGTTTACAGATGAAATTGGTACGCAATCAGGCTTTGTCCTTTCTTGGAAAGAGTCATTCATTTAATTGCTTGTTTCCTACTTTTTAAAGTATATTAGAGACGAACTTAATCGCAGATCTCACAATCAATGAATCGGTTTATCTTAAATATTTTAGATAGTTATAGTATCACTTGTTCTAGAATTTCGAAAAGAATGGGGATAATCGGAATAATATACATTCTATTAACAAACATTCGTATGCACATGGAGAAAATATTAATTCGTTTACTTAAATTGAATGCAAAATAAAACTTTTAAATGTCATTTGGAAAGGTCATTGCACTACTTAGAATGTCTGAAGAAAATAGGCAGTATTGAAATGACTTTTGGTCCTATTTTTTAATTTGATAATAGACAGGTTTCAAATTAAAAATGTGTGATCAAGTAGATTTAAGTTTTTAATTACCTTTATTTTTCAGGCGATTAGCCTGTGAATATACTATTATAAAATAGATCAGTATATGTACAGTCTAATCATATGCTTATTTAACCAAGGCTAAACCGAGACAAGTACCGGGCCTTAATAATCTACAATTAAAATAATTATCCACAATTCAATCCACAGTCGGACTTTTATCCACACATATGAACCGTCTAAGGTGATACTTTATCCATTAGTGGAATAAAGTAACTGAATTTCACTAGTAGAATAATGAAAAAATAATAAAGCTATAATAAATCAAATATAATTTATTTATTTATTAACATTAACATTTACATTTATAGTAATAGCCATTTTGTTTTTTGTTTTATCACATTTAACCTCTTTTCCGTTAATAACAACCCTTGTAGCATTGTTGCCATCATTTTCGGAACGCATACCATCTGCCGAAGTTTGTGAAGGATTTGCACAAGTTACGGATGTCTCTTCTTGTAACGAACAGCTATATTTTCCTTGGATTTTCCTTGCAATATCAAGTTTGTTAAATATGCACTCCTCAGCATAACTTTCTATCTTGACTCCACTAATTCTTCCTTCTCCATTTCCGCTGTAAATACATATATTTAATTGCTAGATATTATCTACGCGTTTATGAAAAAAATATATAAAGAGAAAAATAGAGTTAAAAAGGAGTAAACCTCTAGTAAAATTCCAAATTACTGTTGCGAAATCAATCAAGTTAATTGACGTAAAATATCATTAACATAGTTGTTTAACACTATTTAATAAAAATCCCCGTTTTTTGCCCCAAGTATATATAATATATAAAAAAAATATTTATTTTATATTAGCAGTAATCATTTTATCTCCTCAGAGGTTAACATTAATTATTTTTTACATCGCTAATATATCTACGTTCTAAAAATTATTATTTTGTAGTAAACAACAAATTCTTGCACAACCAAGGGACTTCCCAAACCCCTACCAAATACAAAATTGGCTTTAAAAGTAACAGTTATGCTCAGTTCTGTGAATTGTGTAGCGCAGTATATAAGAAATACATTAGACTGCACAAATCATGTCAAATAACAACGATTTCGAAAACCGAATGCATTTCATGCTTAAAAACAATAACGGGAAACCTTTTAGTGAAAAAAAATATCCAAAAGGCCAGCACGTGGGTTTTCTAAACGAGGAATTCGGAAACTACTCGACAGAATGTGATAAATTGATTGTATATCAGAGAAATCTCATCCAGCAGCAGCAGTGTTTAATAGACATTTTATCAGGTATGTTTTCTATTAAGACTTGAATTCTTTACATAAAAAAAAGGAAAAATAAATATGTAAGATGTGTCTGCTTCCCTTCTGTAACATAAAAGCGTGTTTAATTTCATGGAGAAAGATTATGTACTTTCAGACAAGGAAGAATAATTATTTACGTAAGGTTTGGGCAGCTGAATTTGGCTGATTTATTGCTCGTGTATAATAATCTAGACACAATTTCGTGTTTTCTCTGCCATCCCGAGAAGGAAAATTAAAAATGTATATATCCAAATTTTCCTGAAAGGAGAAGGATCACGATTTATTTTTTTCTGCGCAACTGTAAAACTGCAGTGATTATTATCTTTCATAAAAATATTGTGGTGAAAGTTTTTGTTGTTTTACTCAGACTGTGGTTGCTACTAACGATCAGGTGGATGCTGCATTTACGGTATTTGTTAAAGTAATCACGACAAACTACCGAAAAAACTTTATGAAATTGGTTTTTTAATTAATTTACTACAATTATATGTGTCATTTTATGAAATCGATAGCAGCATGTCGTGTATAGAAGCTCAGATTCTGTTAACTTTTTTCGTTAGGAGTTCCACAAGGGTCCAATTTGGGACAATACTTTTATGTATGGTAGATGACTTGCCAGTGCTGCAGTATCCACACTATAAGCTATTTGCAGATCAAATTGTGAAGAATTTGCACAAGTTAGGGATGTCTCTTTTTGTAAGGGTATATTTTCCTTAGATTTTCCTTACAATTTCAAGTTTATTAGATGTAAACTCCTCAACATAACTTTTCTGCTACAAAGAAGCTCTTCCATCCACCATGGCGTTTCATGGTTGTAAGATCAGCATCTTTATTGGCCAATAAAGTTGTTGAAGTGCGCCTCATACAATGGCCAATATATGCTTCTGGATTTGCGATATTCAAGAATGAAACAACTATTGAGGGTACCTTTGTCAATGTGTTGATTCCAACAGACATTTTTGATTGATGTATCTTAAAAGAAACTTGTGTTAGGCGAATTGGGCGCAGAGAAATATATTTTCTGCATATTTCAACAGCATTCACGCAATACATTCTAGAATTATAAATTTTCTTGGTGTCATGTATTGAAACAAGTAAGTAACTGCCAATGTCCTGTACGTCACTAATTTTCAAATTTGTCAATTCGCTGCATCGACAGGCACCAGAAACCCCCATTATTAGTGCAACCTAAAATAATTCAAAGTTCTCTATATACCTAACATTGTAAAAGGTAAAGAGATATTACCTTAATCATTAAATATTCTTTATCGGAAGCCCCCGTCCAAAAATTCTTCAATATGTGCTCTTTCCAATACTGCAGATTTTTTTGTTTTGTATCTTCTCGATTCACTCTTCAAATAAGCAGTAAGCTAGTTATATTTTCCAATATCTCTATGTTTGTAGACATTTATAGTAGCTTTCAACATCGAATACTTCGACCACATAGATGAAATTGCATATTTTTTATTCAAATTTAAAAAATACAATAGCATTACTTCTTCATTTATTGTCATTACTCTCCGTTTTTTCCTCGATGCGTTAAATTCGGCGAACACTTTTTCCTAATGTTCCCTGGATTTCGTTGGCAATAAATGGAAAATAGCTTCTCGAGCTTCTTCAAAAACAGCCACAGGAACACAATTACTTTCTTGCAGTTTTACCAAATTCAAATAGAACTGTTTATTAAATAATTGATAATAAACAATGTAACATAGCAATCAGTAGGTATAATAAAACCTACCACATTTTATTGAGTACTAGTAAGAAATATCAAGTCGTGCGAATATTTTTTTAATAAATTCCAATAATTCCGACTCCACAAATATGATTGTGATGTGATTATGGATAAAACGTTGTATTGCATTCGTGTTTTAATTGCCTTTTAATAATTCCCTTAAGAATATTAAATGCTCGAACTACGTTCTTGCGTTTAAACATTCTTGCATGGATAAAATGCTACTTAAAACACTTATACAATAAAAAATAATGTTGCAAATACTTACTTACATAAACGGTTCTGAAAATAGTTCTTGTCTGGTTCGAACTTTATGATATACCTACCTACATATACTACATAGTAAGATGTTTTAGGAAAACAAGGAATACTTTGTGAAAAAAGGAGTAATGTAATGTTAGATTGGCAAATATAATGTACATAGTTGGTTGAATTCGTTGGGATTTCAGGATCACGGGAATTGATAAAGACAAAAAAAATACATATTTAATAAGTATCTTGTTTTGTATTTATTACCAGGTAAAAGAAAGTGCCTATCTAGCTACACATTACTAGTTATTTCTAATAAATTCTGAGAAAAATATATAAACTTTATTAATTCATAAACTAATGCAGTACCTACATTTCATTAAGTACCTACCTATATTGACGATTAGCATCAGTAAACTTTAAAGCATAAAAAATTGCGGTTCTTTGTTAAATAATTATTGAAAACTGTTTAACCCACAATAGAAAAAAATTATTACTACTAATTCGTTTTTGGTACTAACATGACACAACGTGATCCAAGTTTTTTATATTGGGGCACATCTGATTTAATAAATGTGGATACAAATATTAATTGCTATAGTTTACTATATAATTTTCGTAGTGTAAGTATCTATATTTTGAAATAAAATTGAAATAGTTATACGGTACCAGAAGTGTTTAATATGATTGTTTCACAGAAGATTAATGCAACAAAGAGTATGTTTCACATATAATGTTATTTCGTAACCTTTTTATTTTTATGTACAAGGTGATTCACTCTATTTTGACCCCCGCCTCCATTACCTCTTTTTTTTAGAGTAATAATAAATTGTGACATACAAAAGTTGCACGATTTTTTATGAAAGTAATAGTAGAAAAGCAAATTAAGTCCACCAAAATGGATGTTAATTTTGTTAAATTAAATTAAACACCCTGTATATTTTTACATGTTTGGATAGAACGTTTCCTGTCAAGCGTAGTCATATAGGGTTTGTTGGATCCATCTCTAACAATAAGCGAGATAGGTACTATTAAAAAAGATTAAGAAAATAAGATATCTTGTAATTAGACCTCTTTCAGATATTTCTGGACTCATGGACAACGTTATATGGTAGGCTGTGACAGGTAATGCCATGACAACATTGTTATTGTTTCACATTTCGTATTATAATTTCATAAAAATGAGTAACAGAGAAGTAGAAAATTGAAATATTATAGTCAATAAAATAGAGCATGGAGAAGAACATTAATAATTTATAATATTAAAATCACAACGACAATTTTAGAGTTAACAACTATACAGAGTGTCCCACCGGAAATTGCATCGATCGATATCTAAGAAAGTACTTCTCCGAAAAATTTGAAGGTTTGGCAATATGGCAATGTCCCTAGGGTGAACACAACTAAAATATCTAGAACTCTTCCTTTCCTTTCAAGCCATATAAGCATTTGACTTTACTACTTTTAGGGATATTTGCAATTTTCAATTTTTTGGACACTTTTTCTCGTATCAGGCCTGTTGTCAAATTGGCCATGACCAGAAACACTGCAAAAACAATTGATATAACATGACATTTGTCAAATTAGTTATCAAATTATTGTTTTGTCTGTAATAATTTTTGCTGAAAATTTAAATAAAAATGCCTGGGGTTCGTTTAAATTATACTTATGAGGATTATTTTAACTTGTTTGTTATTTAGGAAAAAAGCAGCAGATTCTCTACATGTTCTTGAAATTATTTTGTCTCATTTTCCATAAATAACAAACAATAATCCTCATTAGTATAATTTAAGCGATCCCCAGGCATTTTTATTTAAATTTTCGGCAAACACTATTCAGATACAACAATAATTTGACTACTATCTTGACAAATGTCATGTTATTTCAATTGTTTTGGAGTGATTCTGGTACAAGAAAAACTGTCCAAAAAATTGCAAATATCTCTTACAGTAGTAACGGCAATCCTAATAATGATATATGGCTTGAAAGGAAATTTTAATCTGCATACGAAATCTGTTTGATTTCACGATCCTGAAAAGAGTTACATCTCCGCGAACCTTTGCATCTGTCAAATTTTTTCTTTAAAAATTAAAATCTACAACTCCTAGGTATAGGGAATATTTAATAAAGCGACCCTCAAATTTCACGTAGAATCCTTACCTAATTAGAAAAAAGGCAGAATGCCTGAATGAGGTCTAACAATTGCAGGATATTTTATTTTCTTAATAAAAAACCTTATTTTGTTCTTTTAATAGTATTTCGCTTATTGTTAGGGATGTACCCAACAAACCCTATATGACTGTGTTCGACAGGGAACGCGTTCTATTCAAATATATAAAAATATACAGGACGTTCCATTTAAATTAACAAAGTTAACATCCGCGGCCATTTTGTTTAAACTTTATTTGTTTTTCTAGTATCATTTTCGAAAACTTCATGAAAAAATCGGATTTCAAAATTTTTTTTATAACTAAAAACAAAAAAGTTAATTAGGGGTGGTCAAAATAGAGTGAATCACTTACATACTTTTCATTATCTTATATTTTTAATTTTAGGCAGTTTTACTACCCATGATTTATCTGTTTGTTCTGTTATTTTAATGAACTATTACTTTATTCAAACTTTATTTTGATTTTTTGTTAGGTGTTACATTTAGAAATTAAATTTTTATTTAAAAGCCATCTAACTATATTTGTTTATTAGAAAAAAAAAAATAAAAATTGAAAAGTGATTTGGAAAACCTTTTTTGTTATTGATGTATGATGGTTTAGAAAGAGTAATCATTTGAAATTATTTTTTCATTAAACTTTCTCGTTCTAATTTGAAACGGGGTTTCTTGCCGGTGTTTTTTTTTCATTCTTGGAAGAGAAATAACTAATTTCTTCACAATATTCGACTGACCTGGAAAAAACAATATCAAAAAAGCAAAAAGTTGTCTAATATTAACTTTTCAGAAAATATTTTTCTGACCTAAAATTAAAAATTTTAACATTCGCGTTGAAAATCAAAATCCAAACATTTTTGGGTAACGTATAACATATTAATATTAAGTGGCAGACAACTCGACCAAATATTCGGCGACAATGTTAAAACATGTTTGTTTATTTGTAGTTAAACTGGGAAAATGTGAAAAATCAGATTCCGAGGAGCAAGACTTAAACCTCAGTAAACAAAAACAAATTATCAGAATATTCGTATCGATCTCATTCGCCTTATTGGTAACAATAGGAGTTGTTGTTCTTATACTACATTACACAAACAGTGCATTGAAAGACAACTCAGACTTTACTACAACTGTGCCTTCCAGCAAAGATAACGAAAATCTAGGAACTCATCAAGTATTGGATAGAACTCAATGGAACGGAAGAGCCGCACTAAGTGTCGAAAATATGACGTCCCCGGTACCAATAGTTATAATAAAACACACTGGAGGAGGACCATGCCTCACATTTCAAGAGTGCGCTGGAAAGGTACAGACTATTCAAAGTAACAGCGTCACTGACGGACTGTCGGACATCAGGTATAGTTTTTTAATTGGTGGGGATGGAAACATTTACGTAGGAAGGGGATGGAACGTACAGCCTGCTCAGATTCCTGACACAATTGATATAGCTTTCATGGGAAGCTTTAGCTTCGACTTGCTAAGCGATACTATGATCGAAGCGGCACAGCTACTGTTAAAGGATGGAGTTGAGCGCGAAAAATTAGATAAAGAATATAAACTTGTTTCGCATAATCAAACTACGAGTACGGAAAGTCCAGGGAAGAACGTCTACGAACTAATCACGAAATGGCCCCATTATGACGGACAACTAAAGATCGGTAAAGATTTGGTAAGATATTTTTCGCATTACTACCACTACTAACTACGTAGATTAAGTGCATGTGGTTCTACATTCTGTACTAACAATTAGAATTACTATTATTACCTGGTGGTGGGTTTTGTATCTGAAATAACACAGTATTTGCACCTACGGAAATATACACCGATAATGGCATTCACAAATTATTGCTATTTAAGGAGGTATATCGGGTTTACTCAAATGCACAGATGTATTTGAAATTTATATAGCGTATTACCCAGTGCTTCCTCTGTGCGTCATATTTTTTTGAAAATTTTTTTAATCTAGATTTTGAGATATTGTTGTTGAAAGTTGTTCATTTATAGGTCAGGTTTATATTGCGAAGATGGTGCGGCTCTTTTTTTGCCCATAACTGAGAAAAAAATGTAGAAATTGTGAAACTAAACTTTTCCATAGATTACCACAGTATTATCTTATTTTTGATGTAAAACTAATGTAAGTTTTGAACATAGTACAGCTGTATTAATTAGAAACAGAAACCAATAATTGCATTTCTGCTTGAGGATTAATGTGGCAACGTCGCAATCAGCTGACAGCAAGGAGGGAATACATTTGAAAGACTTGATAAAAACGAAATTGATTTCAAACATATACATTTTTCCTAAATCCCATGTACATTGTTATCAACAATAAATTATCCACAACAGATGATTTTTTGTAATGTTTTTAAAAAACTAGATTAATTAAAAAAGACTAGGAGAAGCTGTGATATATTATTGGAATAAAAAATATAGTTGATAAATCCTTTTAATATATTTAATGGTTTATAAAAACATCGTAATCCGTACCCAGCAATATTTAGGGTTACATAAAGTTTTCTTTACTTGATTAATATAGTAATACTTGAGATAAAAGCATTTGTACAGAATAACAAAGGAAGCAAACTTTACACCTAAAAAATTAGTTATAGTTGCAAAACTTTTGTAACATTACTAAAATAGAGATGAAAAACACGAACAGTGAGTAATAATGTAATTTCTATCACAGAACCTTCAAAATTGCATCCAACATTTTCTACGACTTGGACGAGAGATGGGCGCGAGTCATTTCATTTCTTTAGAACCAAATTAACATAATTCTCGTTGTTTTATCAGTTCATATGATATACGGATTTTAAATAAAGGATACAAATCTTCGCGAGGATAATACGATATATTTGATATATATAATAATTATATTGTACGCGTACGCATCTTTACCCGAATTTGACGCGCAATATCTCCGATGTCCGAGGTCTGTAGGTTCGCAGTGTGTACAACTGCTAGTCAATTATTAGCGCTGTTGCCACATCTACATAGTCTTTATGCGTTCATTAAATATAATTTAAAACTACTTAAATATGATATTTTTATGTTGTTAATTAGTCAATATGTATGCTATGTGCATGAGTAGATTTCCTTGCTATATAGATAATGTTTATCGCAAATAACTTCAATAGAATTTAATTTGTTCAAATTGGCAGCGGGCTTTAGTCCCATGAGAAAAGCATAGGACCCCCCCTACGTTCCTCACTTCCCTAGGACCCCGATATACCTCCTTAAACAAGGTTATATTTAATTATATTTATTTAAGATTATACAGAGTGTCCCAGAATAACGTGTAAAACGAAAGACGGACAGACTCAAAATATGCAGATTTAAGCTAATTCACCTATATCCAAAATCGCTTCGTGAAATTTTTTTGAATTTTGTAAATAACTAATAACGTATTAATCGATTTTGATTAGTTTTCTTCTACACGTGTTGGTGCTATACAGAACTCCTACAAAATTGATGTACAGTGATAATATACCGTTCATAACTTTTTTCTCTTTCCGACAATAATGACAACTATTTTTTATTTAATAGGTCATTTGGAAGTTTTTGGGCCTCTTGTGAAATAACCACTATCTATAACAAAGGTTAATTCGGCGAAGAAAGTTAAACGACACCTTTTACAGTTCTTAAGGGTTATTTTTTAAAACACTTAAAGCATTTTGGATATGCCTCCACAACGTTTCTTCAGTGTTAGATATGGAAGCATGCATTGTTGTTTTTAGAATGCCCCAAAAATAATAGTCGCAAAGTGTTAAGTCTGGTGAATGCACAGGCCAATTAACAAGAACATTATCACCTCTACTGATGCATCGACGAGGGTATCCTTGATTCATATACTGCCGGACATTTACAGTGAAATGTAGTGGAGCGACATCATACATAAACCACATATTAGCTTTTGAGTAATAATGGTACATCCAATATCTCGGGCTTTGCAAAAATTCTAAATAAAATTTCCCATTCAGTAGAATGGGGTAGAATAACAAGGACGACAATAATGTTATCAATGATCGCAAACCAAACATTGATGCGAAATTCATGCTGATAGTGTTTCACGTTGACAGCATGTGGTTTTCTTGAACATTTTTCATTGTGAATATTTGTTATTCCGCTTCTAGTAAATCAGAATTAGCAGGTACAATGGTTTAAAGATCAAACTGAAATTACAGTCAACCTACAAAATCAGAGCCTACTGACACTGTGTTAAGTATTGTATGAGCAGCAAGATAATGTATGCATTTAAAAAATATTTTTTTGTACCCAAACCGCTCATTTGATCAAAATTCTATAAGAGGCCCAAAAACTTCCAAATAGTATCACTTATCAAATAAAAAATAGTTGTCATTATTATCCGAAAGAGGAAAAGGTTATGAATGGATATTATCATCATATATCAATTTTGTAGGATAGTTCAAGTTTTAAAAAACACTCTGTATAACTTCAAAATGTTTAGATTGAAAGCAAAAGTCCATACCCCAAAATCGAAGTTATTTACAAAATTCACCAAATTTTCACGAACTTTGAGGCCATCTAGCGGCCAAATGAAGCGATTTGGGATATAGGTGAATTAACCTAAACCTGCCTGTTTTTAGTCCACGAACCTGTGGTCTTCCGTTGTACACGTTATTCTGGGACATCCTGTATTTAATTCTCGACGAAATAATTTGTTTCTTGCAGACACAAGTTTGAAATTTATATAAGTGTCACGAATATTTCTCTGAATGTTTTTAAATCATATTTGCTATAAACTAACATAGAGCTCAACAATTTGTTTATTCTCGACAACATTCCTGTTATTTATGTATATTTACTCAACAATAGGCGTCCGGAGGGGGGAGGGATAGTGGGTGTCCTCAAATTAGAAAATTAAATCACATTTTTTTAAAGTTTTGAAAAGGTTTCAAGCACTCTCCTCACGAAAAAATTAAATAATTTTTGTTAGTTTTTATCACTTGCATTTATTCTCGGATCAAACATTCTTATGGGATAACGCCATTCTAGATGCTGGAAGAAAGGTGATTTTCAGGAAATTTCAAGGAAAACTGTTTAGATTCAAACTGGTGACTGTAAGCGATGGTAAGCAACGACACTTTTTTTCAGAATATGGCAGAATATGGCTGAAAAGGTTTCTGGTGGTCTTGGAACAAAAAAAAAACAAATATTTTCTCATATTATATACTTAAAGGCAGGGAACATCGTAGGGAAATGAAAAAATATTAATAAAATTGTTGGTTTAGTGAAAAGAAAGTATCGAAAAGAGACGAAAAATTTTGCATTCAATTGTTAATAATAATGAAAATTGTTAATCAATCGAAAAGCCCCTACGATGTTTTCTGAGATATTATGAAGCTCTTTACAAAATTTCAAGTCGATTCGTTGAAAACATTTTGAATTTATCCAAAAATCCAAAATCCATTGCTTAACTGATGTCCTTAGTTTATATATTACTAAAGTTTCTTATACACATTGTAAGTCTTAATAATTTTAAACAAATTGAAAGGAATATCGAATGAAATGATTAAATCAGTTAAGGAAAACGCGTCCACTGTTTGAGAATTGAAATGTTTTTCTAGCTAAAAAAATGAACTGCCTATGTGATAATATTATTAAAATATTCAGACAAACATAAAACACCAGAATTAATCTCACTGTTTACGGAAATGATTTCGTTCTATTGACAGTTCTTAATGAACCTAAAGAATTACCAAGTTCCTAAACGATGGTGCAAATCTCTCTGGTAATCACATGTAGAGGTGTAACTTTTTGGAAAAATTTTTGCTCGCTTGTCTGTTACAATTTTGACACAAAACAAATTTAAATTAAAAGCGATTTTTCCCACAGCTACACAAGAGTGCATGAACTCAAATAGGTGACAGTAGCAATTGTTTGTTTTCAATTATTTAGCCTTAGTCTTCAAGTACAGATATATTTCACCGAAATACAATTAGAAGTGACACAAAAAAATTGCGTTATAATGATAGAAAACAAGTAATATCAAAAAATAAAAATGTATCAGTAATAAATTTATTTTTGTACTAAAAATATTGAAATTATTGTCCACCAAATATTGATAGATAGCTTGAAATTGAGGGAAACAATTTTTACGGAAGCACTATTAGATACACTAGTAGATTAGAACACTATCCTTCTCTACACAGTGGTACAGCAGTGACACAATATACCCTAACTTAAAATAGAAATAATTAGATGCTTCATACAGTATGTGGCATACCTATAACTTGACAAATAAATTAAAAACATTTGGTTATCGATACTTCTTTCCAGTTCTGAGAAATTTTGATACTGTGAATAGATGTTTATAGATATGTTAATCACAAAAGTTCTTAATAAAAATATAAACAGAAATCCGTGATTTTATTATTAATCTTTTAAGTAGGTATTCATAAAATATGGTTCTCAACTACCACACAGGTATTTTTTATTCATATTTTTACTAACCGCTTTTTACTAACAAAGAACTAACATTTGTAGTTGAAAATCAAACAGTACAATGTTATTTTTGATTTTTTACTTCTGTACTTTTAATCTAAAGAGGAATCTAAATTCTGTACAAACGTATTATGGTACACATTTCTCAATAACAATGATTTATAATAAGAAACTAAATAAAATAAGTTTTGTTACCTTTTTATAGATGATCTATCATTAACTTTAAAGAATTTGGTAAAATATTTGATCTTCACAAAAAAAAGTCTCAGATTCGAATATGTCGGAAACTAGTGAATAGTAGGAAGATGTTTTAATTATAAAAGTTACTCAAATATACTCAATGGTTTTTCACTTTCTTGTAATGGAAAAACTGCCTTATTTCACTTCACATGAAGCTTCCTACCATTTGTATTCCGAACTGAAATTATTTATAGGTATACACTATAAAACATTTTTTACAGAATTTAAATATCCCCTTGTTTTCGAGATATCAGGCAGAGGGATAAAATACTTTGTATACTAAACCTCTAATTATAAAATGTTTTAGATTTTCTCGTAATATAACGTAATAATTATTCCATTATCACTATAGAAAGTTGAAATTTAAAAGCTTTAATATACTTTTTTTATTATGATTGCACCTTATGCTAACACTATCACGACCTTTGTTCAGTGAAGTCATTTCCAAGTGACGAAAAAGTAATTACTTAGTTTTGCTATATGTTTCGCTGCTAATACGGATACTTTTTGGTTTATTATATACTTCGTATATAAAATGAGAGCTTGCCAGCAAAAAAAAGAATAAAACTAAGCCACTATTACCCAGCACAACAACTTCTTTCATTTGTTGTTAACGTCATACCACAGATTTTCAGCGTCAAAATATACATCTTTTAATTAATACCTACATTTATTGCAAATTGTTTTGTCTAGTCGCTAGAGCGAACTAAAATGGTTAAAGAGGCTTTAGATTTTTCAAATAACTTTGAAATGTTCTACTCGTGCAAGTATAGATGAAATTTGACAGGCTCTACTTGAATACATATACGTATATTATGTATTTGATGACTGACTATAACCGAACTAGTTGCATTTTCAGCAATAATACCCCCACCCCTAAGCAAACATACATTTGTTGTCACTAACCTTACAGCTTGTTTTGTCACAAAGAACACACATTTCTAGTTTTTTTCACAATTGTAATTGTTTATATGTTTTTATATTTCTATTAATTTTGGTTTATTAAATTGTTTTATTAGAATATCGCTATTGTTTTCGATATTAAAGATAAGATGACTTATTAAATTATTATAAAAAATTTACTTCGCTTATTTAATAATAACACTTAGATATCCTTCACAAAAATTGTTACACGTTTTACAATAACACATAACTCATTAAAATATAAACAATAAATCCCACTCAACTCAAATTTCTATACAATAAATCGATTTTTTTTCTAGTACAACAGTTATCTCTCGGAATTGCAAAGGGAACGTATCTTACCCATTATGCATGCCCTGCTACGTGGCAAAGTGCCCCCAGATATTTGTCATTTCTTACCGTTAAACAGACAAAAGATAAAGAAAATGCACATATACAGGATGATTTCACTTTAAATACATAAATTGCAGGACTAGATTCATTACCAAAAATAAGTAGAGTTTGGTTTATAAACTTTTTTCCTGCGGGGATCGGTATTCGAGATACAGGGTGTTAAATGTTAAAAAACATCAAAAACTAAATAATACAATAACGTTAGCAAATAGGCCAAATAAGTAATTAAGTAACGAGTCCTACAACAATTGTCCAAAACTAAGTCCTTCCGCATCGATATACCTTTGACTTCTCCTAATCTATGTATAGAAAAACTGCCAGTGGCGTATTGTAATTTTTTTTTTTGAAAACGGAGCGGCACCTTCAGTAGCACAGCAATGGTTAATGCCACGAGAATTACATTCAATAAAATGTCCAATTAAGTGAATACGCTGTAATAAATTTCATTCAAATCGTTCAGCGTAATATGAAGATATGACCGAAAATATATTTTTTTTTGGAAACTTGAACATCCTGTATTTCGAATACCACGTCCCCCAGGAAAAAAATTATAGAGCAAACTCTTCTTATTTTTTGGAAACTAATATATTCCTGCAGTTTCTGTATTTAAAATGAAATCACCCTGTATAGAATTTGGCTCTTTATAAGAAGCCTGGCCTATTGCATATCAGATTCTCCCGACTATTTATCTGCTGACGTTTTTTATCCAATTTCCATTCTGGTAGACGAAGTGCTAATTCTGACCACATAAAATGATTCCTTGACATCTTGACCAAGAAATCAGATGAGCGTCACACGATTGTAGGACAAAAATTCGCGTAAAACCAACTGACTATATGTGCATATTTGAATAGGTTTTTTATGTGAACAAGCCGAAATAACAAATCCTTCAATCTGGAAAGTATGGCATACATACCAGAATAATGTTCCATTGTAGCCAAAGTAATGTTTCTTTCTAACTGCGTCCAATTCAATCCAAAATGATAGTCCAATTAACTAAGCCTTTAAATCGAAATTTTGCCAACTTGGCTGAATTTTTGATATGAGTTAGTTTAAGGTATATTATAACAATAAGTGAGAGTAATTTTTTGTTCAACCCCCGGGCAAGGGTGGAAAAAGATAAAACAAAGGGCTTTTTCAAGATAACTCAAAAAGGGTAAGAGCTAGAAAAAAAAGTTTTTCATGAAAGTTGTAAAGCAGACAATTCTACATAAAAATGATCACTTAACTTTTTCTTGTACTATTACAATTAACAGAGTTATGGAGGCTAGAAGTTAAGGGAGGATTTCTGAAATTTAAAAAAAATCATAACAAACAGAAAAATGATTGAATTTTGTAATTTTTTTTTCAATCTGCTCTAAAATATGTAACTTTTCTTTTCTGAGAAATAGATATATTTTTTAATTTTTAATAAGAAAGTTATAACAAAAAATCAAATTTTTAATCGTTAATTTTAACGATTTAACAAAATTAAATTTCTGAAATCTTCCCTTAACTTCTAGCCTCCCTAACTCTGTTAATTTTAATAGTATAAGAAAAAGCTAAGAGACCATTTTTATGTAGAATTTTCTGCTTTACAACTTTCATGCAAAACTTTTTTTTCTAGCTCTTACCCTTTTTGAGTTATCTTGAAAAAGCCCTTTGTTTTATCTTTTTCCACCCTTGGCCGGGGGTTGAACAAAAAATTACTCTCACTTATTGTTCTCATATATGTTTGGTTAACTCATATCAAAAATTCAGCCAAGTTGACAAAATTTCGATTTAAAGGCTTAGTTAATTGGACTATGAACAGTACAAAGAAATAATTGTTTTTGTTGCTTCCATAGCAACACAAACACAATATCAAAATGTAACATCAGTACGCAAACACGCCGCAGGTGTTAGCCCAGTCAAATATTTAAGTCCATAAAAACTAAATGTTCCTTAGCGACTAAATTGAATTAATATCTAAATCTGTTAAATCTGTGGTAGCTTCATATACTCAAAAGGTACCCTGTTTCCTGTAGCTTGTGCTTCTACATCTTTCTGTTTATTCTAACACTTATTCACAAGAAATATTTATTTAAACGCGATTATTTGTTTGTTTTAGGATGGCGGCAAAAAGGATTAATATGGCATAACACCCCGCCGAAGAGCAAGTCAACTTGGTACAAAAACAAATATGTAATAATTATCGGTGGAACATTAATACTTACAATAAGTGCCATAATCGTGTTTGTGATATTATATAATACATCTGAGGATGAAGATGACGTAGAACGCCTAGGAGACCACAGAGTATACAACAGGAGGCATTGGGGAGCACAACCACCTAGGGCAACCGTAGATTTGGTACATCCAACAACCTTCGTGATAATTTCCCACAGTGTAAGTCCTTGGTGTGATTCGTTTTCAAGCTGTTCTGGTCTCGTTAGGTCATTCCAAAACCATCACTTTACCCTAGGTAATTATGATGTCGGTTATAATTTTATAATTGGTGGCGACGCAAACATATACGTAGGGAGAGGATGGGATGTGAGGAATTTCCACAATTCGATCAGCATTGGTATTTGCTTTATTGGTGACTTTCGCAGCGACGAGTTGAACGATGGTATGATCAGCGCTGCTAAGCTCTTAATAGAGCAAGGCTTTAATGCGGGCAAAATCTCAACGGAGTATATTTTGGTTGGTCAAAACCAGACCGACAGAGGTCTGCCAGAAAGTCCAGGTGAGAATGTTTACAGGGTGATAAAGAGCTGGCCCCATTTTTCTGGTGAATCATATTTTGATTGATAGAAATGAAATATTCAAGAGGTCTACAATTGAGACACCAGATTACAAAAGCTTCTATTTATTAGATTAGTTTCCAATTAATATTAATTCATAAAAAATCGGGATGGGTTGTGTCCCACTGACAGAACAGATAACATCTAAACTGTAACCAAGATCTGGTCTTTACAGGAATAATGTATTTTCGAACGAAACAACTAACTTTGGTAAAAACGGGTTCCTCAAATTCAAATGCTTCTGAAATTTCATAAATCTCTGCATTTCTATTATTTCGGAAGCTGGTAAATCTTCTCGAGACGACTCTAGACTTCATCCATTTTCCTATGATTTCCGATTACAAGGGATATAAGTCACCAAAGTTGGTCGAAGAACTAATTTCGAGTCATTCGCTTTCTCGTTCACAATTGAAGCTACAAAATCCGTTCGCATTAATCCTGCGAACTTTGTCTTCATTTTATTTGATCAGGAAGATTTTTTCATATTTTCGTTAATGTCGTTTTTCGCCCATTTTTCTATCTTAGGAGTTTTTCTTCATCTATTCCCTGAATAATTTCTTAAATTACTTTTATCCCGACTGCAAATAACAGTTGTAGAACTTATTGTAGCTTGTCTCGTCTCTTGATCCTAGACCTCTGAATAAAATCTAGTCAAATTTTTTATTAAATAAATATATCTACAGTCACAAGCAAGAATATGCCTCATATATATATAGAACAACTTGTATTACTAAGTTTTGATAACTTTTCTACATATCAGAAGCTCTAATAAAACATCAAACGTCGTCGTAAGTGGTTTGCCGGGAAATTTCAAAAAAGTAAAAAGTTACAAAATGTTATCAAGAAAAGTTATTCACAACAAAATTTTATATCGGAGGGGCTATTTTGGTAATGCATATATTGAGATCTCAGATAGTACAAGAGATAGAGAAAATAGTTATGAGTTTTAAACCTATTTTTACTAATTTAATTGTGTTAGCAAACCGTACTGTAAATACATCTATTATAGCATCTTTTTGTAAAGAACTATTACTTTTCTTCGGCACATTATTGGTATTTTCTGTACTTTTCGTTCAACATAAATAAGGCGGCCGAAAGGGAAATAAATTTGAAATGTAACTGATGATGACTTGACTGAAACATTGAATAAAAAATTCTTAAAAAGAATCGTTTTAGGAAATTTTTTACAAATTTAAAAATCCGTAAAAATAACAAACATTAAATCTAGTTTTTTTCAAAATTTATCGAAAATCCAAACATATGTCTGTGGACACCATTAAATGAGGGAAAAAAATATCTGAAACTTTTCTCACTTGCTAAAATGACCCATCCTGTATTTATATACCAAATTGGAAATGATTGACGGGAAAATAAATTATCCATTTTTATTAAAAATATTTTAATTAAAAAAAAATATGCCACTGGATACGCAATAACCAAAGGTTTTTATTATTTTTGGGAAAATGAACCTAATACTGTTCATTTTTTTAAACTGTGTGATTTACGCGAATTTATTTTTGTGTAACTAATATCTCTCAGCAGTAAATCTTCCTCTAAAAAAAAATGAAAATAATTTACTTAAAAAGATTAGTAATTATTACATTTGTCTTGCAATCGCCTTCAAATTTGACACAAGATCATGAAATTTTCCTTTCTATAGAAATGTTCCAATATATTTTCATATCAAGCAACTTTTGCTACGTCTATTTTAATTCCTTTTAATTGGTTAACGCAAACAGCATCGTTTAACAATTATTGTTTAGTTTTGCCAACTATCTACATACTTTTTACCTGGTCACTATACATAAAATATTGAGAATATTATCCGCAACTGATTAAACGATCTTAAAAATAATCATTGATATATATTTATAGCGACGCAACAGGATCTCTGTTATCATTCCTCAAATTATTTAAAGGGATTTGCATATCTGGTGATCGTCCTATTTAACTTCAATAAGTCTCTGTCATATTTTGCTAACAGGTAATCAAAACAAAGTTTAGACCTGTTGCGATCATATGAAACATGTTAAAAATAAATATGTTCATATTCACATTTCTAGATATTTTTATAGCCTGTTTATATTAATTCTTGTACTTATACTCACATAGTAATATAGCATCCAATTCGTTCAGAATATATATGTACAAATATACTTGTACCAATAAGCAAATAATCATCCTAATGGTTCAAATACATGGCATATATAATTAGCTCCCGTATCAACAAAGTATGCAATTTGAACCTTTCCCTAAATATGTGACTTCTGAGTTCATTTAGTTTTATAAACATATCCACTTTTCTGCTAACAGTTAAAAAACAATGTATATAATAAATTGTCTAAAAATAAGTTGAATTTTTGATGTTGAATTGATTTTTTATATGATGTGCAATTACTAAATGAACTCACTTTGTGTATATCGCCATTGAAACGACAAAAAAAATGTATAAAAACCAACAGTCACGATTTATGTTATACTGTGATATTTTAAGCTTAGATTGTACTTGATTATATTTTTAAATGATTTTCAAGAGTAGATTGTTTTTATACCACTTAGTTTAGCTTTACAGTAAGTTTTTATGAAACTAATCAAAATTTTATATGTTGATAGAAACAGTTATTTAAGAATTAATTTATTACTATGTAATAATTGTACCAAATAAAAATATAAGTAAGGATAGTATAATTATTATAGTGTAAATATATATTACATTTGAAATTTGAAACAATATATGTATATATTATTAGAATATGACTTACTTTCATAACTATAGCTTCAGCTGCTTCTTTCTACGAGTACAACATTGTTAATTTTTTTAATAAAAATGTAATAGTTTGTTAATATTTTTATTGTTAACCCTTCCCCTAATTATTTTTGTTCAAGAAAGAAATTAATTTTGATATAGAAAATGATTCGAAGTATTTAAAAAAATATATATGAACTTTTAATGGCCTTTATTTTCCAAGAAAAAGTATTCCATGTCATTTCCACTTAAAATCGGTAAGAGATTTAAAGCATTCAATTTTCCTGGACAAGCAAAGTAGGATTTTCTACCACAAATTATTGTTATTAATTCTAATACATTGTATTTTTAATGATGTCGTTTTTCTGTTAATATATTATACAGGCTGTCTTACGGTGACATTAGAATATTTCAAAGACTACTTCGATTTGAATTTTGAAAATTTGGGAATGCTCTCGTTAAATAAAAGAATGCCATTGTTGTACCGGTAGTCGTCATCTTCTTGCTTATTTTAAATGGAACACCCTGTATATTATTGCATCATCGACAAGATAAATTAAAAATAAGTCAAAATTGTTAATGCTTTCCTGTACTTAAATCTACCCGTTTTCGAGATAATCGACATTTTATAAAAATTCAAGCGTTTCGAAAATTTGTTATATCTTTATTTGTTCTGGAATCACTTGGTCTTCGGAACACACGAAGAGTATAAGATGTACTACTTTCGACTATCAAAATTACCCGAAGAAAATTATACTAAGTATCCTATTTTTTTCGTTACATTTTAAAAACTTAAAACCTACAAAACCTTTTAAATTCAAATGGAACACCCTGTCTTTTCACCGATATAAGCATTGTAAGGGTTCCAGTTTCGATTTTCTCAGATATTTGAGGTTTTCTTTCATTCTCAAGAATATTACATTAAAAATAGAATCAAATGTGCATCGAAAGACAAATATTGGTATATTTATGGAACATTCATCTAGAATCAGAAGTAGGTATTAGATGAATTTCTGTGACCATCGTGATGACCCATGGTTTCGGGATACCCTATGTAAGAAAACATACTTACAGTTGGAAGAAGAAATTGATCCTTCATTTTTGACACACCGTGTTGTATTGAAATGGACAACAAATTTTGAAGATAAGTAGTAAAAGAAATAGTTTGATTCACTATTATTGTTCTCCGCATACAATACCTATTGAGTGAACGAAATATCTGAAGATATGATATAACCTCAAAAAAATGTCAATAGCTTTTTTGTACTTTTAAGTTTGGATACTTCCAAATCATGACCTTATGGAGCAAGCCAGATTCGTATTCAGGAACAAAAATTAGTTGTGCTGTGTAACTAATCCAAAATTACTCCATATACAGGGTTAGTCACGATAATCTGGCAATTTATTGTGAGTTTATTATTGAAATTACAAAAAAAAATTTAATACAAATGTTTTAGCTATCTTTATGAATTTTTATAATACAGTATTAGAAAAACTAATTGAATAATGGAAATCACTAAATTAAATAATTTTTTTTAATGGAACACCCTATATACTCGTATTAGTGCATACTTAGCTTCGTTAAATTTTTGTCTTTTCAAAAATATATAATATGTTACTGTTTGAATCAGGACTTGTCGACATATTTCAGTTTAAAAATATTTTTGAAAAAACAACAGGGAAATTTATGTCTGACGGATCGTAATGGCTATGCATATGGACGAGGCACACGGAACAAACAAATGACTTTGATAGAAGTTTATTATTTCTCATCATTAATTTATTTCCTATAACAAACTATTTTAACAAAGAAATAATGTTTAGTGAGAACGAAAAATTTAAAGTTATCCGTTTATTGTATGATAATAACAAAAATCATTCTTAACTTTAACAAGTCTTTACGTTAACAGAATTTTAATACCCAATTAACAAAAACCAAATAAAACACAAATGGTCACAGATGTTCCATGTGACCGCCATTATTATTGATGCACTTCCTATAATCCTCATTAATTTTTAGAACTGCGTTTAGTATGAAATAGGAATTAAATTCACTTAAATTTTGAACACATTGCAATGATCAACTATATGTCTTATTTCATCTAAGTTTGTACTAGTTTCCTTATAAACCTCGTTTTTTAAGTAACCCCACAGAAAACTGTCCAAAGGTGTAAAGTCTGGGTTATTTGAAGGCCATTGAATATTTCCTCCATTACCAATCCACAAATCAAACCTATTATTTAAATAATTTCGTACTGCTCTGGTTCTATGCGGAGGCGTTCTTGCGTCTTGGTGCCAAATTAAATTGGTCAATCAGCGGCAGGTCTTCCAATTTGTTCTCTATTTGATTTTCAAGAAAATGCAGGTATCTTTCCCCAGACAAGGCATCTTCATGAAATAGTGGGCCAATGATTTAATTTCTCATCCTTGCTTCTTTGCTTTGTTCCAAAGAAAGGAATCAGCCCAAAGAGTCTATTGCAACGTGGCTTTCAGTCTTTAAAACTGACTAAATAATAGGTTCGTTTTGGTTCTATCAGCGGACTATCCTAAAACAGTTTAGAAGAGCTACCTAACTATTTTGCCAGTATGTCTTGGCTTAGTGTTTTTATGAATGGAATGGTAAAAAAGTAACGGAAATTTTCAAATTGCGGGTTCTTTTTTGTGAAGCACTGTCAGTGATGTGTCTGTCAATTTTTAGGCAGCTGCCACGCTTAATTTGTGTTTAGCGAGCAAATGATAAGAGTTATCTCTGTGTTTTTGGCATTTTTTTGTGTGGTGAAATGTGAAATATTTAGAAGTTTTGCGCATTTCCTTCTAAGAAAATTAACAATTAACATAACTTTTTGGTTAAACATCGTATTTGCTGCAGGACCATCCATATTCTCAAGGATCATGATGGTGTAGCCGAATAACTTTTATAATACAATATACAATAACAAGACTTCAAGGTCGATAT